ATGGTATGTAAGGTAACTATGTATGTATATAATACTTCTGTGGAAAAATGTTGTGTAAGCTCCAAACAACCAATTCATAAACTACTTCTAAAACAAAATCTAGTTGTGAGTTGGGGTCTGTATGTAAACAAGAAAACGGGCAAAGTAACCTCTGGGAGAGTGGTTTGTACCTTTGGTTGGATCTGATGAAAGTTGTGAATACTATCTCTCCAGGAACAGCCACACACACACACTTACACACAATAAATTACATACAATTTTAAAGGGGTTCATGAACTTTCAAGATCCACCATAACTAAAAATGATGGCCTCCATACAACATCAAATTGGATGAATTCTTCAGTTGTTGTTTTTAAATAGATCGGGCCTTAATATGCTTATGAGTAACAAATATTAATTTTTTTAATTTTTTCTCTGGTTAGCTTAGTAGTCTCCTATAGCATTTGAAATGGCATAATTTAATATTACTTAGGAGTTTAGAGAGTAATAACCGAAAATTTTTGAGTTCTAATTTTCTGTTGCAATTTCAGTAATTATTAACAATTGTAGCTCATAATCACACATATTCTAAAATATATAGGCATTATCTAATTTGAAAGTTTAAAATGTGCTTATTTATTCAATTTGAAAATTTGATTTTTGAAGACATATTACATAGTTGTTCTTCCCAAGATTAAAGGAAAACATTATTTTATAAAAATGGGAAGCTCATTTTAAGAAAAATTAATTTGAATTAGAATATTCACTCCTTCAACACACAAAAATATGTAATATTTTCATTCTGTGTTTTTAGTCCTGATTTATTTTCAAACCAAGATTAGAGATTTGGAAACTTCAGTAGCTCATGTCTGTAAGTCTAGCACTTTGGGAGGCCAAGATGGGAGGATCACTTGAAGCCAGGAGTTTGAGACCAGCCTGGGTAACATAGTGAGACACTGTCTCTAAAAACAATAAAATTTTTTAAGAAATTAGCTAGGCACAGTGGTATGTACCTGTAGTCCCAGCTACTTGGAAGGCTGAGAAAGGAGAATCACTTGAGCCCAGGAGTTTGAGGTTACAGTGAGCTATGATAGTGTAACTGCACTCCTGCCTGGGCAAGAGAGTGAGACCCCATCTCTTAAAAAAAAAAAACTTGATTTAGCACTTATGACTAAAAGAGAACACGCAAACAATGAGATAAGAGGTATAGAAATCAAAATTTAATAGTATGTTAAACAAAAATAATCATCAACCTGATCAGAAAGGAATACGAAGTATTAATATTAGTGTAAAAAGATTACATTGCACAATGTGAATATACTTAATACTACTGAAACATACACTTAGAAATAATAAAGTGGTAAATTTTGTTATGCATTTTTTACCACAATATAAGTAATTTAAAAAGAAAGAAAGAAAAGATTACAAAACTCTGTTAGCCCAGAATGCTCTTGGAATAAGGGCTAAAAATTCTAATGAGGGCAATGTCAGAATCTTCTAATTTAACAAAGTT